CTCCCAGAGTTCGCCCATAAACTCGCGCGCTTTCTTACCATTCAAAAAGCCGGTCAAATTGATTTGCATGAGCTTCCCGTCGGGGAACTGGAGGTTCAGACAAGAAAACGATGGGAAGAATAGGACATTAGTATCGCACGAATTAAGGTTTTATACAATTAATCACAAAAAGTATATAACATTAGATATAAAATCAATTAATAAGTCATTAAAATAAGTGCTGAGTATTTGATGGCTCGGCTCCCCCTTCTCAATGGCACAGCGAAAGTGATAATAACAAGACTTGCCGTCAGACAAACACCCGGTTCTCTAAGTGACTATCGAGTTGACAACAATCGCCTAAAAGACTGATCACAAAAGACTAAATGAGATCATGAGTCGCATAACAAAACAATAGGTTTTTTGTTCAGTTCAAACGCTAACAGTATTTACTGTCGATTTGTGTTTTCACTCAAAAATTAAACACATTTTACATTAAAAATCATAAATAAAATCAGAAAATTAAATGAGAAATAAAACAGTGGTTAAGAAAACAACGGTTAATAACGCATAGTAAGGGGAAAGGGATTAAAGCGATAGTAAAGTGTAATGTTATGAATATATATGTTTAATGTATTGCGAGTACCATTGCATTAGGACTTCTTCGGATGGACACGAATTGTCTCACAATATTTGGTCACATTTTGTCTCTTATTAAAGGTTCTGCACACAAACATGTCATACAATTATCCGAAACAATTTTGTGCGCAACTTTGCGATTCAAATGGGGGTCACATCTAATGAATCAAAATCGCAAACAATATTTACTAAATTTGATTCAAATTAAGTATATTTTTCATTTAAATATAGTTTACATAATTAGTTATCAATTAAAAACATTGAGTACTAGAAAACCAATTAACGGTTTTCAACATAATCTCTAATCATAACAAACCGGACCTCAAATCAAACCACAAAATACGAGTCAATCGTTTCACGCATTTGTTTGTAATTAAAAATAACAATAAAATTAAAACCAATTCATACTTTCAAACCATTTATACAATAATTATAAAAATCAATCGACAGATAAAAGCCATCCTTTAGTAAGGATTTCTTAATAACCATTAATTACACGACAATTAAAAGTGCAAATAATCTCATAAAAAATATATCAATGAATGTCCCGATCGTTGGATCAACTGATCCGCAGATATCAAAGACACACACGAAATGGTATACCTTTTCGGCCTGCAATTGGTTTAAGACATATTCGACCACAACCTCGTCCTCCATCTCCAGCAACTCAGCGATTCGCGTCTGAATCCACGGCCGCAAGACATCCAAATTGACTTTCTTGATGTCCACCTATTGATCAAACACACCATTAGATCATTAGATCCACACGTGTCTCAGGGATACAGTTCCCCCTCTGAGGATATCACACATACTTTGTTGACCAGAACCTCATTGAACTTCAATTGCTTCAGCAGTTTCTTGTGCTTATCGGCGAACCGGTTGTCCTGCTCTGCGCTCGTGCCCTACCAT